ACTTTAAAAAACCGTTGTGAAATAATTTGTTAAATGCTAATAGATAGACCACATGTAGATAACTCAAGTGACATTTTGTCTAATGAGTTTATGTTTTACATTCAGCTAAAGCAGGGCTCGTGTTAGCTCTCTGTGCACTTTCCACTCAGACTTCCACTTCTACTACAAATTCTAGTCAAGGTTAAACTCAAAAAGGCACACATTGTTCTCGATTGCAATTCATCACTTCTCCCTCTCCATCCAGCCCAGTCTTCTCCAGATTAAGGCAGTTGTACTATAAGACACAGAATTAAGCCTGCAGTGTCCTCAAGATATAGTCCAATTCATTGCTCTTAATTTTGCAATTCCACCACTGTGCTTGATACAAAGCCCTGCTTCTCCATCAAAACCATTAAGGCTCTTCAAGCCCAGAGTATCATCAACAATGACAGCTAAATATTTAGGCTGTCTTGCCAGAACAAATAAGATGGCCAAGGTCAAACGGCTGTGTTAGTCGATTCTAGTTTAGATACATTGGTCTTTGGTTTCTGAAGGAGCGATGCACATGTCTCTTTCAGAAGGCAATGGCGGAACCAGGACTAACCAAGAAACATGATAAACACAGTGTAACATTTACAATATTTAGATATAGAACATATCTAGATTTGGACTTCATTGCCATGCTGCTTTAACTTCATATCACTTTATGCATCAGAAACAACACATCATCGAGGGACGCAACAATCTCATCTCACAAAAAGGTCAAGTTAGCCTATTTTCAGCTCGGAAAAATCCTCTCATCTTAAACAACGGACTTCCAAATATGTCATTTATCATACCATCTGTCATACTGAAGAATCATGCCTTTGTTGGGAATGAAAAAAAAAATCATAATTGGAGTTTTATCTTTTTCCATTATTCCCCCCACAAGCTCTGTCAACAAAATCAAAATGCCTTTTGGAGTCGCATCAGGAAGTGCAGCTTTGGGCCGAGCCTCTGTGGCCTCAGAGATAGACAGCGGCGGATAAGAAGTAACTGAGTTCTTTGGTTATATGTGTCACCAAGAGACTATATGGCTTTGAAGTAATAAATCATAAAAAACTAATCGCTTCCTAAACATTTATAGATAAGAGAGTTGGGAATCAAATCAATTTAAGTTTCTGTACACAGAGTCCCAGTGCGGGCCGCAAACAGTCAAGTATCACTCCATCTCAGACTACAGCCACTGTAAATGCAATAGTGTGGAGATTGGGGATGTCATCCACTGCACTGTGCTGCAATGTGAGTGGCAGAAATCATAATGGGCTTGAACGGCACATTATGACTCCTGAAAAAATAACATATTTTATCAGGAATAACTGTTTGATAGCAGTCTATTTTTATCCTAATGGGTCCATCCGTCATTCTAAATTGCATTGAGTAGAATAAATAGCATTCATTTCCAAAGCATTACAACCACATTATGCTAAAAAGATCCACATAAAACACATCAAGAACTCATTTCCTCCAGCTGTTGACTTACTCTCAATTTACAAAATATGGCAAACATTATCTTAATATCATTAAATGACAGTTTAACTTAGTGCTGATGAGTGGATGCAATAACTAAACCTTGAAAATACTAATCTGACTGAAATTTACATAGCAATTTAGAATATTAATAATAGAATTTCAAAAACTTGACAAATTCCCTGATACACCATTATCTGTATTTGAAAAATACAAACGGCATACTTGAAATATGTACACGCATTATGCATTATAAGTTAAGTATCAAATGTAGTATTCAATTAATTAATTAATTATGCCGAAATGCCAAATTCCAATGGTCATGGCAAGACATGACAATACCATTTTAATGTCTTCTCATATGACTGCTCTGGTCTTGCATACCATAATATCCATGAAAACTTATTTCCAATTTACTAAATTCCTAAAGTTGTCTCAATGTCACTCCTTCTTTAAAGTTCTGAATAAATTAATATTTTAAATCTAAAAAGCAGCTGCTCCGCTGTGGCCCTCGTTTCGGCGTGGGCCCATCCATCACAGAGTTAAGTGTCAGCATTAAATTATCGCCTGCTATTATGACAGCAACATTACTCATCAGGATTAGGGCTTAGCCAAACACACGCTCCACAGCCACGGCACATCTCCTTCTCCCTATCGATCGCTGTTCCCTCCATTACCAACACACAGGGGCTATCTGCATGACACCAGCACACCGCGCATGTTGATGATGCTCTTGTCTGTAGGCAGGATGCTTGTATCATGAGGTATAGGGGAGAGAGTGGAGAGGGAGGGGGGCACAAAACACGGGAGGAGAAGCAGGAGATAAAGAGGGACTGTATGCAGAAGCTCTCCTGAGAATGCAGCTATAATGAAGTGGTGGATAGGTTTAATACGAACAACAGAAGGGGCCACTGCCGTAGTCAAGTGCTGTTAATATCGCCTCCATTCCTTAAGCAAATCAACTTATCTGGCAACGTCTGTGTTTTCGATAAGGAGCGAGGATGAGGTCCGTGGAGAACAGCGTGATTTAGATGTTGTTTAAAGTGAATATCCAGATAGCTAAAAAAAAAAGAAAAAGAACCTCTACTATGATGTGGTCTGTATATGTGCAAAGGGGCTTGGTGTTTTTGTGCTCAACAGAGCGTGCAGTGAAGACTGGAGAGAGAGAGATAAAAGTGCATTGGTTTTTCTGCATAAATCCCTCATTTCTCTGCCCTTGCCTCGCAAACGCCTCAAACGTGCCACAAGACATTACTTAAATAATGCCTGAAGGTGCAACGCCACCGACGGTGTCCCCCTTCGTTCAATTTGAAACGCATCAAATCCTCTCTAATTCCACATTTCAGGCTTTTTAAATTGCCCTGTTCTCTGAAACGTAACCGAAGGCTTCAACTTTGTTTCCAGACTTTTTTCTCCTTTATTTTCTATTAATGTCAACTTTGAGAGGACGAGATAGGAGAGTGAATAAAGCCATTTTCTCTTTGTTGTAAATGTCTTTTTCCACAGTCACACAGGAGCATCGAAGGATTTTCAAAGTGAGCCCATTATACAAAAGTGGAGATCTTCAGGGACTTGGATGTGGCATATGTCTCTCAAACAAAAAGATCTCTACAGCCGCTGTTCCTTTTGGGAAAACAAAGGACAGTACAACAAAGTATCTCATTACAAGACCTTAAGTGGCTTTGTCTGATTGTTTTAACACCATGCTTGGAGCAAAGTCACCAGCAACTTCTATAGCAGTACAGCACTGAGAACAATTGTGTAATCATATTGGACTTTTCAATAACTATTTATAATCTACCTCTAAAGCTATGTGTCCAGCAGTACACAAAGTCATTCCAAAGTTTTATTAGTAGCTTAACACAAGTTCCATGCTTTTTTCCAAAAAGAATGGAGTGACAATAATTAGAATCAGGAATGCATGTGTAATGTTATTTATGTTATTTTTATGAGAATAGCTTGAACTTTGGTGTGCGGTTAAGAAATGGCTTCCTTAGGTGACCTTTTGTACTACAAACAGGCCTCTGGATATTTCTTTTGCAGAGCTCCAAGGTTTAGGGCTTGTTCAAAATGAAAAAATGCTATCAAAGAAGTCAAGGAATGCAGAGAAGCCGCAGTCTTTGTTTCCTACCTTAAACTTGTCTTATCGCTCCATTACAAATCTATCTACTCTGGCCAACGTCATTTTTCTCCCATGTTGCTATCAAATGCCCCAGCCCCCATGTGTATCGACCACCCTCCTCCTGGAGATCAATACTGAGCCTATGGAGGCTGGAACAAAAACTGTAATTACTCACAAAGCAACAAATTCCTTAGCGATAACAGCTTATTTCATTCATTATAGCAAGAAAGAAAAATACTCTAATCCACGCTTATAGAACAGAGGGAGAGGAAATCACACTGACTTATTTGCAGCCTGTTTATAAGAAAATGTACTGTAAGAAGCGATAGGTGATCAATGTGAAATCATCATAATCATGCAACACCACCCAAATGCAAATGAACATTTCAAGTTTTGATACGATGAGAATCTTTATCTTCTTTATCAATGAAACCACTACACAATACATGGGACAAGGAGCAAGACCAGAACAAAATCCATGGTGGGGCATCTGGAAGAGATGAATTATTTGCCACCATGAAAAATAAGGTGAGCAATAAAACCTTTCATGATACAAAAGGGTGAGTAAGGATAACAAACAAGTGGGTGAGATTTGCTGCCTTTCAGCAACCCTCTTAAGTGGTAATGGGATAACCCCGGACACGTCAAGAGCCTATCAAACTGCCCCTCACATTCGACCCCTGGGTGAGACAGGAAGGGCCCGCTTTGTTTGTAGCAATTGGGTGCTGTGTGCAGGGCCGTAATGAAGTGACCTGAAATAATGGAAAGCGCTGGGCCCCGTGCGGATGATTTTTGCTGGATAAGAGCAGGGATCCTGATTTAGAGTCACAGTTCATTTCATTTTTCGCCTCTGATGAGATCTCCTCTGTTATCTGATAAAATTGAACAGCCATTACCGACAAGGGCTCAGGCCGGCCAAGCGGTAAAGCGCTGCCGACTGCTCCTAACAGAAATCCTATACACTCCACTTTGTCAGCAGTTTTGAATTCATCGTTGCAGGGGGTTGAGCCAAATGATAGGAATAATCTGGACCCAACCAAGATTGACACTTCATTTCAGAAATCAATATTTACAATTTACTTCTTTCAAAGTTCATTCTGGGAGAAGATTCCATATTATCCTTTCCAAATAAGCTGATCATATCTCTCCTCACTTCTGGAATGGCTTTTCCCAAAATGTGAATTTTTTTGGTTTGGGAGGAAAAAAATCAATGTTGCCATTGTGGGTTGTAATCTGCCCTTTGATGACAGTAAATCTTTATCTTTTTATAGGCAAACGGCTGTGGGCCGCTGACACCATTTCCTCCAGAACAAAGCCCCTCGGCCCATGTGGACTCCAGTAGATACATAGAGCCCTAATGTGGCTGGACATGCCACCGATGGGTCATTAATCAGAAACTCTGACAGCCACCTCTTCCCAATCTGGCCCCGACTTGAGCCCCTCGACAAGCCCACTCAGCCACTACCCACAGGAGGCCACGCAGGAGCACGAGACACAGGACAGGCCGATTGGACGGGCACTGGGACGACAGGATGGAGAAGATGAGGACAAAGCCCTGGTATAAAGGGACTTTGGCCCGATGGCTCCGGCTTTGAGATAAGAGATGTGGGAATCACACGCATTTCTGTACAGTACACAGCGGATCAAGATAGTGGGGATCAAAAGATGAAAGGAATATTAAAAACATTCCATTAATTTGATCAATTTCATCATTCATAGACCAATATAGTAATAATCAACAGTATTGATTATTTTAAGAAACTCAAACTATGTGTTTAGTAACATAATCATAATCAGTGTCACTGATCGCAGTTGGCCCGTGAGTCGAGTGTTTGACACCTGTGCCCAAGAGCATCCTGTCATCTCCAGATGTTGATGCTTAGCTTGGTCATGACTACTTTTGATGCAGGACATTCCTATATCTTGGGAGGAGGGGGAAATCTGAGTGCCTGGAGGAAACCTCCCCAGAGACTGGGAGCAAACTCTACACAGAAAGACCGGGGCTGTCAACTTTCTTGGGGTGAGACATGAGCATCAGCCACAGCACCGCCAGTGTAACATTTGTGCAGAGTGGTGTGCCACCAGTTTGTGTGCATGAAGATGGATGCTTTTTTATCACTCACTTGATACAATGGCATCACCTGATTGGCTCCATGCAAAAAAGGAGAAGACAAGGGACACAGTATTCAAAAACTATAACATCTCAAAAGAGAAGACTGGGTTGACCATCCACCAGAAAAGTTTCATTAAGGTAACAAGTTCATCTAAAAAAAACACCCTCTGAGCCAAAAATGTATCCAGTTGTGTATTTCTTGTTGCAAAGAACTGCCCGCTTTTTGTTTTGTTCACCACGGCCTGTATCTTTGAGCCATATAGAGGTGCGATAAAAGCAGGCATTAGCAGCCATCATCAGAGTATACCCTCAGAGGTAAAGTGTGATGCAGTTAGAGGAGAAATTACTAATCACAACTTTGGCTTCACTGAAAACCTTAACGCGATTTGGAGCAAAGTTAGGCCCCAGCGAGCATGTGTGTTATCCGATTTTCATTGTTCTTTGGGATGGAAGTGATGTTCCAAATCATCTTATAGGCACCGCTAATCCAGTTTCAATTGATCACAGGTTTGCAGAAGAACCATTTTCTCATTGTCTGTCAGGTGCCTGGGGATAGCATAAAACAAATGTATTTTTGAGTGAGCTATGTGATTATGAATACTTTACTTTATTTCTGCAAAAGAAATTCCCATTATGAACCAAGTGTACTGTATTAATGTGTCATTTCACCATGGTGGACAGAATATAAAACACTGAATGTCTTTGTATTGACTGGGTAAAATGAAATAATCTATGATGCATGAACAAGAGCTAAAGAAAATAATAATGTCCTTAGCGGTGAAAAACGGATTGCCGGTACAGTAATTGAGCAGATTTATTTTCACCCGTTGGTAAATGGGGACGAAGAGGGGAGGGACAGGGGCGAGGGAGAGGGGCAAGGGGAGGTGGCGGTTGCCTGCTGAAAACTGCCTGGTATTTTATTTAATCTCATATTGGAGGAATTATTGGCTGGTAATCCATTGTTAAACATCATTTAGGGTGATGGATTGGGGGCGTCAGGCTTTGCCCCAACCCGATCAATTCATATCTCATTAGAGCGTATTATTTAGAATTGGCATAGTTGCCCTGCAGGGACACAGCTGGGAGAGCCACTGGAGGGCCCACGGCTGCTGCTAAAATGAAGTGTCACGTACTGTAGCTTATGACCTCATAACTGCATAATAAAAAACGCATTTTGCTATGGGATATTGATTTGGTTGGGTCAATGTAGGAAAAATCATAAAGATTAAAGATCATGGAGTCGTGGAGCCATTAGCACCCTCAAGAAAAAGCCATTGGAAGAAGAGAGTAATAGCAAAGAGAGTTAGCTGTATATGTATTGGAAAAACAGAGTAATATGGTGTAATAATTGTGATTGATGCAAATGATAACGCAAAAACTAATTATAGAGGTCTGAATTCAACTTAAGCAAAAGTATAGACTGGGTTTCAGGAGAATTTTTTTCTATTGGTGGATCATATTGATTTTAAACATTTATATAATTATTTGATTGTATGGTCAGAATTAAATGACAATTGAATGGACATGAATGTTTCCAGGTTAAAAACAGTACTGATTAGCCGCACATACAACTGAAAGACCCTAAACCCTTTCAGTCATTTTTCTTTTGCTGTTGTTGTTGTTATTGTTGATTGAAGAATAAACTAGCTAACTACCTAATTAACTAAGGCTTACCCTCTTACAAAACTCTAATCCCAGGTGGCTCCATCTTATGCAGCTTTAGGCCTTATTGTGATACATTCTGAGAAATTGCATTAACAGCAAAGTAATCCATATACATACCTCATACGGCTCAATGAAGTATAAAAGTTAGGTTGCAACATTCCAAAATATTGAAGCAAAAAGTAAATAACTAAATAAAATTGTAAGTATACCAAATGAAAGGAAAGAGGAAATTAACCTTTTTGCTGCAGGAACATGTTCACTGCACTTGAAATAGAATAGTAATAGAGACCTAAATTTAAAGTCTAAGCAAACTTGTGTCAGATTTATGTCACCTTAATTCAAAAACCATGAACTGTGAAGTCATAACTCTTACAGTGACATGCCGATGCTCCGCTTAAATACAAACCGTAGTAGTACCTTAATAGTGCTGAATGGTTGGAGAAGGCTGTGAGATGTGATCAATAACCAGGAGCAGATCCATGCTGAGCGGCAGCAGCCTCTCTGTGTTCAGTGAGCCGGCACACAAAAGGAAAAGTGTCATATTGTGATCTTTATCCAGTAATCGGCCTGACACACAGTCAAGTGATATATACATCCAGTAGCTCCAGGGCTTCAGGCTGAGGACCACAGCCAACATCTCTGCTAAGCCCAGACACTGATAAAACAAAAAGACAGAATAATATATATGTTAGTGTTGTTGAAGTTATATTGTAGTGATTGTAGTGTTGTTGAAGTTGACAGAACTAAATTCAGCCAAAAACTTTCTAGAGGACAGAGGTTTAATTTTGAGTTCTGTAGACAAGTCCGTCAACCCATCAGATATAGAAAAGTCAGCGTTCTTCCAAATAAAATAAAAATGAATAAAGACTGTAAGCACTGTAACGTAAATTTTATTTTTTTTAATAAATATTGTTGCTTGGTAGTACAACTAAGGTCTTATCCTAAGCGCTTTGGGTGACATTGGTCTGTAAAATGCGCTATATAAATAAACATTACTTACTTACTTACTTACTTATCCTGGTTTTAATCCTACGGCTTGAAATCACTTTTCTGGCAGAGCAAACCTGACATCTACTGGGCAGCCACAGAAGTATGCACAATGAATCAATATAAAATATAAGAAATCTCAATATTATATTCAACAAATTGACCCATTACACTCTCATTTACTGGCTCTATCTAACTTGTAGAGTGCCTTTTTCTTGTCTCCAAGTAATATCAATGTAAAATGAATGTTTCACAGTATGGCATTAAAACTGTGACGATACCAGGCCGATCACTAATGTGCTCACAGTATAAAATAAATATTATTCAAGTGATTTATGAAAAGATAATACCAACCTGGCATATTCTCAGCAATAACATATCCATGGATTGGAGACAAGCTACACAGAGCACATTAATGCAGAATTAAATCTATTGTCTATGCCTTTACAAAGTTCTATTTGAGACACTAATCAGTTATGTATAACGTTCATTTACTGCTCATGTATTTTTAATTGGACAGACATAGCCTTTATGTCATGATATCGAGGAGAATATTTACTATGAGATTATAAATGGTGCTGATGATTTATTGTGACCTGAAGGTTGGCACGTTACATTCCAGCAGACGCCTCATTTTCTAGATCACAATAAATTATGCTGGAAATCATTAGGGTCAGTCACTTGTGTGGGCTTTAGACTTTCATAAGGTAACTTTGCGTAGAGGGTATTTTCATTAGAAGCTGAGTAGGCTATATCATTGATCTTTTTTTTTTTCCAGAGCCATACAGTATGTCCTTACCTTGAATGTCAGAGGTGTTCATCACAGTTTTTCAATATTTGCTCACTATTGTGCCAGATCATCACTCAGCAAGATGTGTGAGCTTTTTGCAAAATGCCCTTTCAGCACTAAATGCTGACGGTATGCTTTAGTTTATGGTGAATCTATAATTTGGATTCTTGAAAAAAAATACCTCCCTGCTCTTGCTAATTGTCCAAAACGACCAGCTGCCCTGTTAACCGTGACCTACAGTAAAGTTGCATAACCTCAGCCCACAAACCGTACTGTCTTACAAGAGCTGTCTACTGTTGACTTCTAACATTTCTTTAATCACATTTACAGCTGTAATGCTTCAGGGACATAGTACAAGTGATACGACAGAGACTGGACAAGAGTGGAAATGTCTACAAGCGTGTAGCAAACACTCAGAGGATTTGTTGAGTTTCCGGTTTTGTCTTTGTGTCAAAATGAATAAAAACTATATTGAGAAATTGTAATCCCACAATACAGCTCATCACTATGACAAACATTATATCTTGAATAGATTATATATTGAATAGATAATAGTTTCATGCTACCATATTTGACTGAGCTTTGGCTATTGAGTTTCTCGATGAATGTCCTCTATTCTACAAGACACCTGTCTCTTATCGGCGTCTTATCTGTGCAGATTCGAAGCATGCAGACTCTTGAATTACCTATCCATACAATGTCATCTGTTTGTCCCCCAAGTTGGGGAAACCCGACCTTGAAATCAGAGGCGGCTAAAATAAATAAATGAAACCCTAATCAAAAATGCTACTCTCCTCTGGACGGGTGTCAAAGAGGAAGGATGATCCGTCCTGATTTGATTTTGTTTCCAAACCACATGATGCATTCGGACAATTAAAATTTTAGCAAGTCATTCGCTGATAGCCTGTGAGTGAGTGCTCCAGGGCCGCTTTGGGTTTTGGGTTTCTTGCGGTTCTGCCGACACTCTGAGGACAGGTTATTTATGTTGGCGCTTTGCCATGTCTGAAAAAACATGTTTCAGTGTGTCTAGAGTCCACAGCAAGGTCAAAAGTGTCCACGAGCAGCAGAGATAATGACAACAAGTTTTGAGAAATAACTTGGAAAGAGATCTGCTATTGCACATTAAATCCAGGCATGATCAATACAGATGGATAGGATAGCTTGAGGATGTTACCCATTATGGCCAATGGGAATGGTTGTGGGATAAGCTGGGTTTGTGCTGACAATTGTCAATTTAATGAATGGCTATCACAGCTGGGAATGTCTCCCTCACACCAGACACAATGAGATTACGATTATATCACAAAGAATTAATTGTATATGTCTAATTACATTGTTTTTATTTTTTAACTAATATTTTGCTCATTTGTTTTTGTCTAAACTCCACATATGGCAATAACAGGTAAAACCGTTTTGGTCATACAGTAGCCATACAGCAAAATAAACACACGCAAACCAGAGGGGAAATCTCGCCAAACCTCTCAAGAACTTATGTGACCAGAGTCAACAAACATGGCAGGCAAAGAAGAAGCAGTGGCCATTTGTAGTTCCAACTTAAATGGTTTGGATTTTGGATTCAACTCTGCGCTTCCTGTGTTTCCTCGTTGCTTCGTCACCTCTCTTTCTAATTGGCTGCACGTCACAGTCAACAAGTTTGTGTTTGTTAATTGGGCCAAAACAATCTAACGTTGAATACACCTGATTTGAGACCAGAGCAGTCCTGAGAAGCCGATTTTCTTTTGGATTTAGGTCTGATCTTTTACTGTTTTTTTTATTTACCTTTCCATTGAAGCTCACTTGCTTCCTCCAAAATGACCCTGACAAACCAAACCCACATGATTTATCAATAACAATTTACAAAAAGTGGGACTTGAAAGCAGGGTTTTGTAACAGCTTTTAACTAATTGTCATAACCTGTATTCACTCTGTATTATTTACATACACAATCTATGCGGAAGCATTCTAGATCCGGACTGAACAAGGTCTAAACCACCGTTAGAATGTGTGCCTGAAACAGCACTTCAGGTCGTCAACTAAGTGTAGTACCTGCAGAAGGATGCCTCAGGTACGACACCTTTGGATCCAGAATTTCTGTCTCTCCTCTGAATCCCTACTTTTGCCCTTTCTGCAGTGACTGTGTATTTTCCACCTCCTCCTTCATTGTAGGACTGTACTCACAGGGCCACCTTCTCACGCCACAGCAGAGGAACAATTCTGATACCAAAAAAAGAAAAGAAAAAGACTTTTACTACATACTTTAAAAAAAAAATGGCAATAATACTTAAAAACTTTAGGATTTTGGTTACAATGTCTGCCTGGGAATCAACATATATAACACACATCTTGTTTGGAATCAACCTAGTTTGTGAAGACCCAAACAACCAAAATTGAGATCCATTGCCTTGACGCACTGAAACACAACATTGGGGCCATCGGGATTAGCAATGACACAATCTACAAATCCACAAAGCACATGTGGACAGGTTTGGCGAACTCCCATGAAGCCTTGAGTATCCGATGGAGAGTATGGAGCTCGTCCAGCGTTCCGCAGCCGGGACAAAACCTAACTGCTCTTTATGAATCCAACATTCGACCATTGGTCGAACTCTCCTCTCCAGTACCTTGGTGTAGACCTTACCAGGGAGGCTGAGGAGTGTGATCCCACAACACACCCTCCGGTTCCCCTACTTGTAGAGAGGGACCACCACCTCGGTCTGCCACTCCATTGGTACCGCCCCTGATCACCACACAATGTTTCAGAGAAGTGTCAGCCAAGACAGTCTACAACATCCAGAGACTTCAGATAGTCAGGACGGATCCCCCGGAGCTTTGCCACCAGGGAGGCTGCCAACCACCTTGGTGACTCGGTAACATCCTCATTCTCTGCCTCTGGGGTGGAGATTGTGACGGGGGGATTGAGGGGAACCTCAAGGTATTCCTTCCACCGCCCAACAATAGACCCAGTTGACTGGCTGTCCCCAGTTAAGGACAGCAGCTCTCCACCTGGTCTCCAAAGCACTGCTTCCCCTTCCTAATGCCATAATCTTTTAGAGGCCGACTGATAGTCATGCTCCATGTACTCTCCAAACTCCTCCCAGTCCTAGGTTTTAGCCTCTGCAACAGCCCGGGCAGTGGCACGCTTGGCCTGCCGGTACTGGACTCAGGAGTCCCACGGCTTGATAGGACTGACAGCATCCCTTACTACCGGTGTCCATCACCGGGTTCATCATTTCTAAATTCTGATACATGAATCATTGAATTGTATATTGTGATTTATTAGCACCCCTTTGCAGCTGATTACTTTGACGTGCTTTAGCTGCTGGATTTTTTGTAGAGACTAAACCAGCTAAATTGCTAAAAATGGCAACCCAAAAGTGATACAAATTTGGATGCATCTCTAACATCTGTTTCAGTGGCATTAGGGCATCATGGAGTTTAACGGAAATTAAAGTGAATGAAATTTAGATTCAAACCGTCAACACTGCAGGGGCGAGTAACAGAGGATACAGTGTGTTTCCACAAACCCACAAATGGCTGTGCACCAGTCCATGACAACAGTCTTACCTTCAGGGGAGTGTGGAATAGTGACAGCAATGATTATGTCATCAAAGAGGGCCCTGGGATGATGTTTTAATACAATCTGTTGAAAGTGCTAGTTTAATGTGAACTGAAGCATGCAACTCCTCTAAAGGCTTTAAAACTTTTGTCTGCTTCAAGTGCATCATGGCCTTGTTATAAATAATGAAAATGCACTTTGTGTTCGACAGCTCCTGGCTGTCTATGCAGCAGAGGCATTTCTGTGCTTGCATTACGCTCTATTGAGTTTTCCCTCATTGAATTTTTATGTCACCCAAAATAAGTTTGACTAAGAACTTTACACAATCTTAATCTCAACTTTCCTTGGAGTGAGTGTGAGCGCCTAAAAAAAGAATACCTGTTGTCACTGACTAGGAAATTGCTTTGCTCTGCAAGTAATATTGTATATAATATATAGTTATATATGTTCTCTTTTGGGCGGCACGGTGGCTGAGTGGATAGCACTCTCGCCTCTCAGCAAGAACATCCTGGGTTCAAATCCCGGTCGGACCAGGGCCTTTCTGAGTGGAGTTTTCATGTTCTCCCCGTGTCTGCGTAGGTTTCCCCTACCACTAAAAACATGTACAATAGGTCTGGCATGCGCCTCCTGTTCGGCGACCCCGCTCCCATCTCTGTGTGGAGTGAGAGGACAAATGCCCAAAATAATAACAATTGTAATCCGCTTTGTGACTCTGGTCTGTCAAAGGCGGTATATAAATAAAGATGACTTACTCTTTTGTACTCAATATAATAAATAGCTTTAAATTAGTTCAGATATTGAGTATAGTAATACAGTTATTTTAGTCCATGTTTATTGTTGACAAAGCGTGGCGCACAATTCCAGCCACCACAAATCTCCGTTACAACAGCGGCCACTATTCTCCTCAACCCCAGCAAGACATGAGGAGAGTAGTGGCCGCATCTAATACACGGGGGAATTGTGCGTGTGCACATAAGGCTGCCTTCTTACTCATGTGTCATTCATGGGTGAAGACAGTTCTCTATAACGCTTGTGTGCATCAAGACCAGTGGGGGCGGGAGCCGGCTCCAAAAGGTCCATGAGCATGAGCGCTGACATGCTTGCAATACCACTCCGGGCCTGTGGGGGTGGACCCGGAATAAGAATTACCCACTGCTTTTGTATAGTATCTTCTTTCCTCTCGTAAACGTCTTTACAGGATGGTCCAAAGTCAGCTCTTAGCCCAATGCTACATTCCAGATGTGTGTCAATGCTGAGGGGAGTTTATTTTTTTGGACCAATCTACTTTATCCGCTGGACTTTATAATGCCCTTGTCAAATTACTCGTTGATATTTATGATATATTGAAATATTTTTTAAACTTGAATTTTTTTCATATATATATACCGTTATAATGTTTATATTTCACTTTCGCCGCTTTGCTCGTCTGCCTTCTCCTTCTCTGCCCTCGGCTGCTCGCCCCCTCCTCCTGCTGTTGCTTCCGCTCGGCCCCTCCCCTTGTGTGTGTGGGCAAACTTGTCTAAAACACGCAGAGTGTAGAATATGGCAGAAGCGCAAGTGGTGTAGCGTCAGGAACAGGCATGGATCTATTATAATAACGGGAACAGGTCACTTATTCTAGTTTTATCTTAAATGTTGCAGAACTACTTTGTTCCTATATGCACTGCCTTGAGGTGTGTTTTTTTTTGCATGAAGAGAAGACATGTATTTATTTCACAGTTAAATAATCATTTTTGTAGGAAATTAAATGTGACAGAAGCACTTTGTTCCTACTTGAACTGACTCTTTGAGATCACTTTTTTTTAAAATGAAAAAAAATGGACGAATTTGTTTTTGGTTTTTATCATATAAAAATATCAAGATATATATTGTATATTCCCACCATGAAACTTTCTCCTCCAACTCCCACTGATGACTGCTGTCGTTGTGTCCTTGGGCAAGACACTTAACCCCACTTTGCCCAAAGCCCCCGCTGAGAGATCATGGCTATGCTCACATTGACAGAGCAGCCATCCTCCTGTGGACTCACCACCTGCAGAGGATCAGTGAGGGGCTGGTGCTATGAGACTTGGGTGGCATCTCTGACTGCCACCCCCCCGACCCAGAAATGGATTAAGGGGTAGAAAATGGATGGATGGATGGATGGAGAATCAGAATCACTTTTTTTAATATATCGAGATATAGAATATTATTTCGAGATATGAAATATCGCCCAGCCCTAGGAGTGACTGCGCCCGATAATATTCACAGTCTATGATCATGACTCGTACACATGTACACATGAAATTCTGTTGTCTGTAAAACGGAATGTCTAAATATTTTTGTATGACAGTTACATGATAATACAGGTCATTAAATAATATCAAAGGTTTGTTAGTGCACTGCTGCTTTACTCTTGGGCTCTGGCTAAGGCATTCATATAAAACAATGAATGAATAAATATTTAATAAATACAATTGTTCTTTTAGGGATATCACAACATACATTTGAATACATTGGATGGGTGTGAGGATACATTACATACATTTTTGAGTGTCAAATATTAATATTATTGGTGCTCACTAAAAAGTCCCCTAAACAGCTAGATTACACCAAAATTTAAAGGAAACTAGAACTGTTCTTCTTAATAACTTTCCAAGGGGTGAGTTTCCCTCACTCATGTAGCTCTGGGCTCCTCAAAACTCAACACCAATTTTGACTCCAAAAAATTTGCAGTCAAATTATGTTTCTGCTGTAATCCCTAAATAACCCCTATATAACCCCTTTAGAAAATATATAATTTCACACAAAAAACGTAGATTCCATAGAGTGTTTTTTTTTTTTTTTATAAGGGAAGGGTATTAATGAGCATAATGATCACAGCAGAGTGAGGGAGCGCAGCAGGCAACATACTACAAGAAACATGTGTCAGAAAACTACAAAAATGTTGGTCCAAGCATGAGTTATGTGAGAGATGGAAAAGTATAAATGTGTCATTTTTTTGCCTTTTTGAATGACCCCTCAACCACTTCCCCAAAGTTGCTAATCACCCCTGAAGCTGAAAATCTAAAATCGCTCCTGTTGAAATCAATTGAGCCAAACCTTTTATAAATTAGTCAGCGCCAAGAAAATAAGAACAGGGTAAGACTGCCATCAAGTGGTAGATCATCGCCATTACATTTTCTACAACTTTACCTTTATTTACACGGACTTTCCTCGGCTAACTAAGTTATAATAATTGTGTAATCTGCACAACTACACCTGGATATGCCTAGACTAGTTAATGCCACATCTATACTACAATAGTTGAATAACCAACAGGCAACAGCTAAGCTAACGCTGCACATTACTCACATTACTCACCATGACGTTGCTTCTGTTGCTCGTAGTTGTCAGTGGAAACATTTTGAGCTAACTATTATTGCCGGAATGATTTCTTTTTTTTTCATTATGAGTTAGCATGGTGTCCATTTTAAAGTGTTTTGGTATCCACAACTCTCTCTGGTAATGAGCCACTCACGTGTTTCATAGAGCAGCCAATTGTAGTTTGCATCATGAACACAAGAGGGCGCTATGGTCAGTTTATGTCTCTATTTACTCGATTAGTTTGTTATTAGTCTTTATGGGGTGTTGGAGATACATATCTATGGAGAACAAAAACGTACAAGGATGATGATTTTTTTTACCAATTGTAACAGTAATATACTGTTCAGAATTGTTATTGATTTCTTGGAAACATCACATAAGTTACATGAGGACAGAGGTTGCTGAGTGTACATTTGCTGTACATTACGAAAGAGTTACGAAGTAAGTTACTTTACGCACAATACACACAAAAAACAGAAAGAAACACATGCAACGCAGGAACAAGGGCAAAATTACAGACTAATCCTAATTTCTGTTCATGCGTCCTGAGGGCAGCAGAGTGAAGTGGGTGTGGAGGGGATGCTGTGCGTCTGTGTCCGGGCCATCCGTCTTATTGCTGTGACTGTGAGGTTTGTGGAGGGGAGAATGATTATTTTGGATGCCGTATCCCAAGAACTTCTAAACTGTAGGACTTGATTAACTTTAAAACTGTAATGCTCATAGAATTATACCTATGGATAATACATTAATCCATGCTCTCCATAATTAAATACTAAGAGGAAGAAAAAGTGTTTACCCTTTGATTGAAAGTGTATAATGTGTGTAACTCAGGGCTAAATACTTTTTTGGAAGGTGGGCAGTGGGCCGGATTAGTTAACGCTAGGGCCTGATTTTGTCCACTGGCCATACGTTGAGAAGGCCTATATTCGAGTTTATGTCTCTGTCTAAGCTCTAAGGTTACTTGTACAAAAAAAAAAAGCATGGACAGTGATCCAAAAGAGGGCGACAGTAGCTCAGTTGGTAGAGCATTGGCCTTAAGGCCAGGAGGTCATGGGTTCAATTCCCACCTCTGCACCTTCTCCATCGATTCCCACTGATGACTGCTGTCGTTGTGTCCTTGGGCAAGACACTTAACCCCACTTTGCCCAAAAGCCCCCACTGAAAGATCAAGGCTATGCTCACACTCAGAGAGCAGCCGCCCTCCTGTGGACTCACCACCTGCAGAGGGTCAGTGAGGGGCTGGTGCTATGAGACTTGGGTGGCATCTCTGACTGCCACCCCCCTGACCCAGAAATGGATTAAAGGGTAGAAAATGGATGGATGGATGGATGGTGATCCAAAAGACTCGAAAGAAGATACTTTAACTTCTTGTTTCATGCAGGATTTTGAGCCATTATCTTTCAAAATATATTTACAAATCAAACGGTGTAAAACCATAAAACTAACAAATTCAAACAAGTATACAAGAGGTTTAAATAAAAACCTACTATCTAGACCTATTATTTACCGTCTATCTAAGCTCCGCTCGTTAGCGGTAGGATGGTTTCTATGGTGACAGCTTTTATCGCTTCCGTTACGTGCGTCCTCTGGGAATCACGCATGAATCACGTGACTATCCTCCGGTCTAATCACGTTGTCCAGAGGGAGTGACGCAGGAAATTCAAAGTTGGCACTGGTGGTGGCAGGGAAACGCTTCTGTGTACACTTTTTCAATCCGACGCCGATTGCGATTATTAGGCTTCTGCCGCTTTGATGCATTCCTGAATTAAAATATAAAGTTTTTTATCTTCGCAATGGAGGGTAAAGTGATCGGTCCCGGTCCGTACAGAGCAACGAAGCTGGTGAGTTTGTGTAGCTAACCTTCGTTATTGTTAGCCTTAACTACGTGGTACTAACTAACCATTCACTGCCATGTAACGGAATGTTTATTACACATCCTGCGAGAGAGGACATACCTGCTTTTGTTGACATTCATTAGACACCGTTTTCCCTTCAAAGCTGTCATACGGTGTTTAGAATAATCAATTGTGCATTTTTTGTTGGAAATGCAGTTGTGTATCTTATCGGTAAGTTATGATAGACAAAACATGATGACACAAATGTGTAATAGCAACAATATGCCAATAGATTATGAGATCACAGTTCACTAGCATATATACTAGTTAAATCCTAATTTGTATTTGCTTACTGGTCAATTATCTAACCAACTTCTAACATAGTTTGGTATTCTGTGTTTGTCTATATTTATTTTCCTGGAAACTGGACAGAACTATATAAAAAACACTTAAGTTGCCAATAATATTATCGGGATGTTGTGATACCAGTACTGGAAAAACCTCTGATACCACTTGGTCAAATGGACTCAGTTCAATGCATGGTGCCTAATGTCCACTGTTAATGTGCTATTTGGGATTATTTACAATTATTCCAGATTTAAAGTGTGAATTGATCATTTTCAGTGTCTCATTGAACACATCTTGTTTTACTCTGACGTTTATTTCTAAATGAGTTCAATAATTTGTATTTTGTCTGCTTGATTGGATCTTAATTTTATTATTCTAACATCTACTGGGAATGCCTGAAGGAAGGTGTATAAACTCCACTGTCTATAATCAGCACATCACATAAGTAGAATAGAAACATAACTAATTTTGTCTTGATAGTTTGTTTTAACTGTTTCTGTCTGTATAAGTAAGTAAGTAATCTTTATTTATATACCGCCTTTCACAGACCAGAGTCACAAAGCGGTTTACAATTGTTATTATTTTGGGCATTTGTCCTCTCACTCCACACAGAGATGGGAGCGGGGTCTTTCTGAGTGTAGTTTGCATGTTCTCTCCGTGCCTGCGTAGGTTTCCTCAATTAAGATATTATTTTTAGCAAATCAAAAGACGGAAATTGATATTCATGCATAATAACTCAGCAATTACAGTTTTTCTCCCCCTCTTTCTTGCAGTGGAATGAGACCATTAAGCTCTTCCGCAGTGGCATGCCGCTGAGAAGGCACTGGGCGAACTTTCGCTGTTATGATTGCAGTTTCACGGGATCTGAGGCTGTCGATTATTTGCACGATCTTTTACGATGTAATTACAACTTTGGTCCAGAGGTGACTCGGTACCAGACGCTGCAGTTACTGAAGAAGTTCTTAAAGGCTCATGTTATTGAAGATATTAAGGGACGGCATGGCACAGAGGACTTTGAGGACAGCGGACACCTATACAGGTTTGTGTGGTGCGGCGTGAGTACTTATCCTCTTAAGTACAGACAAGATTTCTATTTTTAATCAGATTTGTCTGGGTATTGTGATACATACATACCTTTTTAGTCCAGAGCTTCTAAAGCAAGTCTGGAGTCCAAGTCATTACTTTGGTCCTGATATACCTGATCTGGACTGGTAATTACTCGGGATTCCCTTAGATGAGCTGAAGGAGGTTTGTGTGGATTGGGAAGTCTGGGCATCTCTGCTCAGACTGCTGCCCCTGCAAACCAGCAACAGAAAAGCGGAAGAATTATGGATTTCTCCATGTAATTAAATTAATTAATTTAACCCTAACCTTAAAATAAAATGCATAATTAATTGCAATAAAGTTTATGGAAGGATATTTGATTATTATTTCACTATTGATTATTGAAAGAAGATTTTCAATGGCTATGCGTACATGATCTCTGCTTTGGGCTAGTATTGGCATAATCTTTTGCAAACTTTTTACATTCATCAACAATAGATAGTATTAGTGTTATTGTAATACAACTAATTCATTCTGCAGATTCAGATCTTTAAAATGGGGTATAACAACCTCAGAATAACAGTTCTTCTAACTTTTGACACACCAAATCAAGCAACAAGAAATGTCTTTAGTGGACATGTATCACATTGGTCTCATTGATCTAGATCTAGATCTAGCTTTTTTTATTATAATGTATATTGATATAGTACAATATTACCATATGACATATATTTTCTAGTATCATTTCATTATTGTCTTCCAGGTTCCCAACCATGTCTCCCCTGAAATCTATTCCTACAAGAACATTGTTGCGAGACAGCACTGACCTGCCCAGACTCATTCGTTGGGATGATTATGAGGAATTGCCTCCACAGGAAAACACTGCCCTGTCAAAGCCTGCTGTCTTGGTGAGAATATTTCCTTTTATCCAGCTGTCTGCGTTCAATAGGTTTGTGCAGACAGATGGAGATGAAATATAATTTTCTTATTATGGATGTTTGTTCCTCGGTTCAGACTTCTGATTTATGGAATAAGAGACACAGCGTTGCAATAGGAGATGTACATGAGTGCAAGCTCATACGGAGAAAAGAGATCACTTCAAAGCAGGTGGACCACATTTGGAAAACCATGACCATTTCACAGTATGTCAAGTTTGTGTTCTAGGTTTATTTATTTATATTGGCCGTAACAATGAGGAATAATGATTGTTATTTCAGTTTGCAGAGGGTACTGGGATTAAAGTCGCTTGAAGGTGTACTAAACTTGGTGCATGTCAATGGGAAACATATAGAGCACAATGTGACCAAAGTTAATAAGACTGGGATAGTCGTGTTGGAAAACAAAGCAGGTAACTGACTTTTCTTTATAAATAACTGTGCATTTGTTTTTCTAAGCTAACCCCAGCTACACTTTATATTTGCAGAAGATATGCCTTATTGGGTTGTGTCAGCGATGAAATGTCTTGCAAATTGTGAGAATTATGTCCGAAACAAATGATTCATTTTATTGGGCTACTTCTTCAGTGTATAATAATTCTGACATGTATTTTCTTTTCATGTCTAGGGCCCAACGGCAATGACTCTAAACAGCCTGTGTACCCGGGTTTTGAGAAGGATGTGCTGAAAACTGTAGCAGAGCATTTTCAAAGGCTTAAAGAGCCTTTACTGACATTTCATCTCTATGAAGTCTTTGTCAACATTTTGAGTGCGTGCAGTTTTTCTAATCAACCTTTTCATTGCACTGTCTGATGCTTCAATCAGACAAACATACATTTGAATATCTTAAGACCACTGCTGATTTTAGTCCCTGCTTATGAATACATTCTAACAATGTTCCACTTTTCTCTACATTGAGCTGGTGCCAATACAATACATATTATTTTAGTATTTTCATGGTAATAGTATTACATGCTTGTAAATGTCTTTGGTGATCACATCAAACAAGAGACTAGCCACTAGTGCAGAAATGTTTTTTGTTGCAAGTATGTTGTATTATGTGTTTATAAATCCTTAGCATTAAATTAATATCATGCAAATCATACTCATATTAACATCCATATTCCCCACTTTCACTTACAAATACTTTTGAGCTGAACAATTGGCATTTACTCAGCTCCAATACCTCAACTTGATTATTTTGCAGGCTTGTTGTCAGATCAGGAGGTGGCGACGGAGGCTCTTCAGATCAGCTGTCTCTTACTGCCTCCTCCGAACCGCAGAAGACTGCAGCTCTTACTGCGGCTGATGGCTCGTGCTTCCCAGAATCCACAGCTGCCTCCACTTAATGACACTATTCCCACTCGCACTCTGGTACGCACCTCTTCTACTGTCTGTGCTTTGCGCTAATATTCAACCAGCCACTACATTTACTAGGAAGGAGTCTACTTTATATTTTACTTTGCCTTGTATCAAAAAGCACAAAGGCAGTTAATAAGCAGAGCTTGGGAGCACTTTATGAAGCTTCACTTCTAAAAAAGGTCAGGTGCTCTTACTGGAAAAAGGCTTATCTTCTTTCATACAAACAGTAGATGATAGCATGATGGAAAAAGGCAAAGGACTCCAAGGCACTTACACTTTATTAAAAAGCCTTTATTAGCACATGGCTTAGAATTTCCTTTTTGCTCAAAAAACAGTGCACCTTGAGCCATGGACTGTGTGGCACATAATATACAGTATACAGTAGGCAGTGGCCCCTCCCATTATTATAACCCTAATCCTGTCTATGTCCAGTTAATATGGGCCAAAATATACATATCTTAATACTACGGGTGTTAGAAAATATTGATTTGGCAATACATATTAAGTCATATCTATATCCATATATATTGGATGTTTTGGCCCAAAATGTAAATCATTTTCAAAACAAATTTTTGCACATAACACTCCCGCTCACTTGTGAAAGACTAGAAAAACACGAGCATCTGACAAGAGCTTCTTGATTTTTACATAGTCATATACAAACAATCTTCATAATCAATGTAATCCTTATATATTGCATCGTTTTTTGACTATATTGATGTATTGTGATACATATCGTTTTGCCAGATACAAGGCAATTCACAGTCCTATTGATATATTAATATTATATTCGTATATAACACAAAAATGAGGAGGCATTTTAGATATATGGGTTTACCTACTAAAACAACACTTCATATTGTCAGCCCGAGTTAAGAAACCAAAATGCACCAAATGTACCAATACTCTAAATGCAACAGCTAGGTCCAGGCTAAGCTGTTGCATTTAGAGTGGCAATTCGCAACGTTTGCTTTTGCAGTAGATATTTTAATCAATCACCACTGCTTAAAGTTTTTGGGATGGTTTCAATCACCATGGCTCTATGTGAGTTTGTTTGGTTGTGCTGCAGTATGAACGTGCTTGGCCTTAGGATATTGTGGATCCTTCTTCCTTATGTCCAGTTTGTTCAGTCGGGTGGTTTTTCAGCCTCCATTTTTTACAACATAGAAATTGTAATTGAAGTTCTAATTGAAATTACCCTCAATACTGTTTGGCAGCTGATCGGATTAGACTAATTAGAGTTAGCCTAATGCTTGGAAACTCCATGTCCAAGATATTTAGTTTGTTCATATTATAATTAGTTTGCAGTTTTGCCTTAGAATTATTTGAAGGCAATACTTTATTTTTAAAAGGCAGAAATATGCTTTGAACATTATTTAATGTTTCAAGGTTTTGTCATAGTGTACCAGAATTCAAATCTTGATATTAGTGTAGAAGGAGGTGAAAACAACTCCAGGTTTGTTTGATATGAGGATCAGTGGGATGAGTGGTTATTCATGTTTCAGTCCGTTTTACAGTTTCTATCATTGGCTTGGGGTTTACACGCATTTGTTTGAACAGTTACCCTTTTATGTATAAGATCAAAAGATGTACTAATTGTGAGAAATGGACTGTGTGTCTGCTCGCTGTAGTGTGTAAATCAGGAAACCAGTAGTGCTCGTTTACTCTGTTTCCAGATGGTGCAGATGTTCTCACAGTGTGTCCTGGGATCGGTGGATGAGATGGACTTGGATGAACTGCTGTCCACTAAACTGGTGACTTTCATGATGGAGCACTACAGCACTATATTTCAAGTACCGCCCAGACTGCGCTCCCAGGTTGAAGAGCACCTGTCCCACCTACGCAGAGTGCAGGTTGTTCAAATTATTACCAATGTTGTTGTTTCATTGCAGACATATAATGATTATCAAATGTACCACAGTTCTTCTAATCCTTGTATAACGTTTGACTCCATATTGTTTCTGAAAAATCTGAATTACATTGAATAAATTAGAGCCATAAATAGACCCTACCCTGGACCCTGAACTGGAAAATACTCACAGCCAGCTGTAACTCCAAAGTTTTTCTCACTGTGTCAATTACAGAAAAGTGAGATGTCTCACGCAGAGCGGAGAGATTGTCACAAGAGGAGAACCGTGGAGAACTTGAATATTGCTTCAACATATATATTATTTTGGGTTTTTATATTTCTGTTGTTTACCCGTTTCTAACACAAGACACAGTTTTTGCTTTTGTGGAGGCTGTGCGCAACAATTGGGTACATAAATAGAAAGTGTCTCTGGAGCTTGGCTGCCTCACAGACCTCATTTGTTAGTGCGCCTTTGGTGAATTTACAGGATTGTTGTTCACCCGACAAGAGACAGGAAAGGGCAGGACAGTGATGTTAGAAATTTGCTTATTATAGATTATCTTTTCTTTTTCATACCAACTTGAAGTCTACTCATGACTAGATTCAGTAGTTATTTTATTACTACCGATATTTTCAATCGTAGTTCCAGTTCTCTTTCAAGAAAGAGAGAATAGATCTTTAAATATGCATTTAAGCATAAAATCCTTTTAGGGAAAGATGTTTCATAATTAAATAACCACCGATGCAACTGCTTCAAATCAAAGCAACACAGTGCCAAAGGTGTTATGTTACTGCTGTATTAGCTTTCAAAGTTTTACCATAATCCAATAATCCTTTTGTGCTCCCATTTTTGTTCAGATAAAGTACGCTGGCACTGACTCAGACTTCAGTGCTTCTCCAGCTTTTTGTAAACAGATCAAAAGAGTGGAGGCCGAAGAACCAAAAGTGATTGGTACACAAACCCCACTACAACAGCTGCTAGAGGGGCTCATCGCAGACAAGGAGCTGCCCCTGAGAGACAAGAGGAAGAGGCTCCGACAGGTGAGGCCCTTACTATAAAAACTAACTCCAACATAGTAATTCACTTGTCAAAATCAACTATGAAAGTGTTTTGTTATCGCATGAAGACAGTCATCATTAGAAGTGTGTGAGTAACTGTTAGTGCAGCTGCCTGAACCAAGCATTCTTCAGTTACTTTTCTCACACTGACCGTCACAGTGGCCTTATGTGTCAAAGAAGTTCACCACTGACACTGACTGATGTGAGACCAGGCTCAAACTCTCTTCATCTCAAAGTGATGTTTTCCAAAAAGCTCTTACAATTCTCAGATGCATTTTCTCTTCTGACAGTTCCAGAAGTCTTATCCAGAGATCTACCAAAATCGATTTCCCACACAGGAGAGCAAAGCTGCTGTTTTACCTGAGAAAGCTCCTCGCCTCAAACCACATCTCATGCTCTTCAACCTCAAGAAATCCTTCCAGCCTTTTCAGAGGAGCTGGAGTTTCAGAGCATAGTCTATGGCCTCTTTTGGACACAATTTTTTCTCGGTTACGTATGTGACAGAAATAGGATGGTGAGTGAGCTTGAAATCTTGAATACAGTGATATTATACAAAATATACAAATGAAATGGAGAGAAATAGACAATAGAGAGAAATAGACAAATGTTTAAGGCCAATTATTTATATTGGAAGTATAAATATAGAATCAAAGGTCTACAAATGTGCTTTGCATCTTTCCTTATTCATATTTCAATATTAAAACATTTCATAGCTCTTATAAGTGAATCTTATGTCAAATCTTAGGTCTTAACCACAGAAACGGCAAATTAGGCTGCTAAAAAGTTTGTATTAATTTTATAATAAGGTAGTCTATATAGAAACAGTTCTTTGACATTGACATTCCCCTCAAAATAATGTTTATCTTTACCATACAGAAAAACCACAGCACTATACTAGATATCCCCAAACACATTTCAATATTTGAATCATTTCCTATGGATTTCTTATGGATGGGTTATCTGGATTATGGCAGCTTGCAATTTAATGGGCACTATTATTGTCAGAAACTTGTTTATGATGAACATATCAAGGGTGACTATAAGGCACGTTATGAAAAGTCTGGTACCGATTTTGTCCTTTTTAATCTGAAGCTTTGTCTTAAGAAACGTTTTTTAAAACAACTGCACTGATGTTTCCTCTATATCTGCGTCATCTTTATCCATGTTACTGTTTGTACAATCTGTCTTTCATCCTTTTGTTGTAAAATCTATGTCTTTTTTAATGGTGTCTTAATTTCTAATGTTGTCATTCAAAACTAATCAACTTTCATACTTTATACTATAGATTACTGTAATTGAGTTCTTGTTTTAATCCAATGCTGGAATAACTGTTACTGTACCTGAAAGGGCTGGAAATTGTAATAATAATGATGCTGGATTTTTGTGAATACATTTGTTCACATAATTGTACTACTTGATAAAAGGGATCTCTTGGCTGCTTGATGATGCACTGTGGAACTCTGGTACCTGCTTGTCTCCATGGAGAGATGCTTTTCCCCCAATGTTTCTCTTGGAGCTAATGCAAGCATGGGTCGGGTCTGTGAACAAAGGGACTTTTTTTTGGAAACAATTTTTAAAAATGCGTTCAGTGCATCAATGTAAGTATAATGCAACACTCATCATCTCTATGGCGACGAGCAAGTGCCGTACCAGTTGTGCAGTGCACCATGGGCTCTAGTCTGTAGACACCACTACTGTATCTGTAATAAAATGAGTCTACTTATGACATTGTATTATGTGTTTTCTTTATTGAGTGTATTTTTCTGCTCATGTAAATTTGGTTACGGCTATGTATCAGCTGCCTATTTATTTCATGGAGGGTATAGATAATTCTGCCTGATGCAGTAGAATAGGTGATGCAATATAATGACTTAAGTCAACTAATCAGCCTCTCTTAGAGGTAGCCATATGGTGCTTTAGATGCCAATGAACTGATTGTATAAGCACACTGTTAAATTGTACTCATAATTAATAAACTGATTCCACCGCCATCAGATCATACCGGGTCTGACCAGCAGGTGGCACCGGTGTTTGCGATCTCCACCATACCGAGGTTATGCACTCATTACTCTCTCACTAACATCATAGAGAAGCCGAGCTCCTTCTGATTGATCCCAAGTCCAGGTTTGTGTCCAGAGAATACTTTAGTGGCACTCAGACCTAGACGAATGAACATCAAAATGAATGTAAGCATGTTTTTTAATGTCAATCTGAAACTCTTGTGCCCCACTTTGTTTTGTTTTATGTATGTTTGATGGTCTCCTCAGATTGTTTTGGATGAATGCATACAACTACAGGTATACATCTGTTTGCACTTGAGTATACAGATCAATAACATGTATGTTTATGCTTGTTTTTTAGGCTTAAGATCGATTTTAGAATGCTTATTGAATGCTCCTATATTTACAATTAACTTATCTTGTGTTGTGTTCTCCTACTGATTCCTGTACTGTTCTGTTACTTTCCCCGCTGTGGGACGAATAAAGGATATCTTGATCTTGATTATACTATCTATCCATCCATCCATTTTCTTTCCCTTTAGTCCATTTCTGGATCGGGAGTGTAGCAGTCAGAAATGCAACCCAATCCTCCTGCAGGTGGTGAGTCCACAGGAGGATGGATGCTCTGTCAGTGAGAGCATACATGTTTCCTTGATCTTTCAGCAGGGTTCAGGCAGTGGGGTTAAGTGTCTTACCCAAGGACACAAAGACAGCAGACTTCAGAGTGATTCGGTGGAGAAGGTCTCATGATGGGATAATTATACTACAACATGGATAATATCGGATGTATCAGTGTGAGACAGGTCAAGGCCATGCAACTGTCAAATTTTGTAATTAATTTTTGACTGATTATCGACCTATTAAACTGATCACATTTGATTGTACTGCAGTATTGCTGTATTGCTGTGTTGCAAAGATTGTAAATACTATGTGTGACTGATGTCAGAAGTTAAGTTCTCCAATGACATAAAAAAATAGTGGTATAAAATATCCATTTTTGTTTAAATTAAGCCAGAAAAAGAAAATCCTGTCCTGTCACTCCTCATAGGCCAAGCAGGGTAAAGTCTGAGTAGTCTGAGCCTGTTGTGATGGGAGAACTCTGGGAGCCACATAGTGCCACATTTCCTGGTGTGTGCGAGAACAATTGATAGTAGTTGGAGCAGCCTCTGCCATGGCACAAAGTTGTCTTGCCTCTGTCAGTCTGCCTCAGGGCAGCTATGACAATGACAGTAGTGACCTCTGTGCCACAGTCTGAGAAACACTGGTTGTGCTTTGTATTAAAGGGGGGTCAGTTATAACACTCATCTTCCAACTTAAAAGTTCACTGCTAATGTCTCTTCAGACAAGAAACATCAGACTGGTCCCCTTTTACTTGGTTATAATCAGACCTCCTTTACATACATGGTTATTGCCCTGAAAAAAAGTTTGTAAAACATCTACTTTTCATATTGAAAACTAACACTATCGGTCAAATGCAAAAAAATAAAACAGTGGAGTACCTTTTTAATTTTTGCATTTGACCCTTTCACATCTCTTTAGGAAACGAGAGAGGAGAATACTGAACTTCTTATCTGTAACTTACTCTTAGTTTGTTAGATGCACAGCTCTATCAGCAAAGCTAACCTATCTCCAAAAGACAGAAGACTTGTGAGCATTAGCTTGTCGGAAACTCATTAATATTCCTGTTATTGTCACAAGGTGTCTGGATCAGCATTATTATAAGGATAACTGATTTCTAAGCAGCAGTGCAGAAGAGAGATCCGCGCTCATTGGGGACATAGCGGAGCCGTGAGGGTACTATCCAGTGTGAATACTAATCAGGCACTTGTCAAAAATTACGGAGCTAGCAGTCATATTAAGTGTGGCGTGTCTGTAAGTATAGATAACAAAGTACCCAGCAGAGACCTTTTGTCGTCAAATAAAGATGAATTTGTAGGGATTCTATTGCTTTAGCTGTAGATTTATACTTCCTTTAAAAAAACAAAAAACATCCCATGTCTCAAAGTACATTATATTTACTTACTTGTTATCTCTTCTTATTTGCATTCACTTAAGTTATTAACAGTCTGGTTAAGTGGAATTATTTTTTGCACAGCCAAAAAATATCACAAAATACTACTGAATTGTTGATTGGCCAAAAGCAGAAAAGAAACTCAGATTTACAAATGTTGAATAAAATCACAGCAAATTATGATCTTGTATAAGATCATTCATTGTTTGTAAACATAAACATAAAAAATCCATGACTATTTTTAAGCATTAAAAAAACCCTTAGATTAAAGTGATTTAAGATTAGTTACAGGTTCTTTCCTTCCCTAAACTGTAGCTCACATACATAAATGCCAGTGATTGAAAAAACTGTTTTCTGCAGTTTGGCAGTATTATTACTCATATTGCAATACACATCCATTACTGCATAATGATATAGATTGTTTGCAGCAACATTATTGACGGTCGATAGGAGGAAGGGCACAAGCAGAAAAACATAAAAAATGTAAAAGGCCTTGATTGTTCGACTGCTATGCAACAGTATAATGAATCGTACTGTTTGTCCGGCTGTTCTCCACTGGCTCATGTGTCCAAGCCAAATCTCTCAAAGTGCCACTGAGACACTGCACTAAAGGAAGCCCACCCTGTTCCTCTGAGCTCTTTTCTGGGAATAGATACACGGCTGTGATAATTGGCTCAGCGCTGGAGGAGTCTTTCGCTCCATATTATCCAATGGAGCCCAGACAAAGGAAAAGCCTCAGTGAATAAAGGGCATAATTGTGATGTTCATTTTTTGGTTACTTTCACGGTGCCTGAATGCATCAATAACAATAGACCTCATGTTCCATCTCTGTCTCCATGAGTTTATTGCTCAGTCAAGAATGTTGCATACAAACTTGATGTTATTTTTATTCATGCTGTGATCTGTAGTTTGCACTGGCGTCACCCACTTGTTTCCATAGAGATAAAATTAAAGGCATGTGAGGCATTGGAATAACAATAACATCGCCGCTGGGTTGTGCAAATGGTGGAAACATCTGTATTTATTTTCGACCTTGTTTGAACACTTTGACCTCAAATCTGTTCAAGAAATTAATTCGAGAAATGATTTCTCAAATTAACATGGATAAATACCATGGCCTTAAAAATGTCCAAAACTACCATATAACTCAAACCCTTCTAAATCAGTTTTGCCCTGTTCAAACCTATGCTGTGAGCTTTTAAATGTGATTATTTTTTGTTCATTTATCTCACCAGGCTGAATTAGAACTCACATTTCACAGAGACCCCATCACTCAATGTGAGTCATGGTCATCATCTGACTCATAAAACCACCAAAACTATTATTTTACCACTTTTTAGAAACTTGGATCTAAGGTTACGACGGAAGTTATGTGCAAAATGCGTATGATTCACACATTCAAGATGAAAAAAGAAGCTAGCATGGGTGTTATTTCCATTTTAATTTAATTTGCAGCAGCAGACAAATTGAAAACATGTTTATTAACAGCTTATGTAAAAGACAATGTTAACCTTCGAAGGAGAAAACCTTTAGTTTAATTAAAGTCATGGTCTCATCAGCTGAAACCTAATAGGGTAAGACATTTGGTTTACTTATAATAATGGGGAAATATATTAAATTAGTACAAGTATAAATATAGGGCGACAGTAGCTCAGTTGGTAGAGCACTGACCTGAAGGTCGTGGGTTCAAGCCCACCACGGGACCTTCTCCACCGACTCCCACTGATGACTGCTGTCGTTGTGTCCTTGGGCAAGACACTTAACCCTGCATTGCCTGAACCCCCCGCTGAAAAATCAAGGCTGTATTGTCACTGACAGAGCAGCCGTCCTCCTGTGGACTCACCACCTGCAGAGGATCAGTGAGGGGCTGGTGCTAAGTGAATTGGGTGCAGCTCTGACTGCCACCCCCCCGATCCAGAAATGGATTAAGGGGAAGAAGATGGATGGATGGATGGACAAGTATAAATACTTTATCGTGTACTCAATAATGATTAAATGATATCATTTTTATTGTTTAAAGATAAAAGGACAAACCTATAACTATTGGCAAAAAGGCTCATTTATATGATTACTCTGTCGTGCTACTTGTTACAGTAGCTGTATTCGAAGTACATTAGGACCATTGTAGTAATTGGATGCCAGGAAATGTCTGCTTCTGTGGATCAGCCAAAACCCAATTCTAAAGGGAACAGAACTGGTGGGAACTAGAACTGTTATTTTCTGAAGACAAGGCCACACAGCTCTCAGGGATGTCCACAGTATTTTAAACTGAACATTTTCATTTCCATAAGAAGAAAGTGGCATAATGAATAAAAAGAACAGTTAATAATAGTTACAAGTATATTAATATATATATTTAGAGAGAGAGAGATGTGTATTTTAACATTCAACAATACATGTTCATTCTCCACATACAAGTCATGGTGTGAAATTACTGACTTGGTTGAGTTCAAACAGCAAACATTTTAGACAAAGCAAACTGTACATTCGTATTTATACACTTGTCCTATTATATAAATAAAGGTGATGAGAGAGCCCCACACTTTTAACCAGAGTTTTCATTTTGTTCATATGCTCTTTACATACTGGCATAGAAACGGCCAAATGTAACTATAATATTTCCCTTATAAAGTATGTACACTATGTTGTCAAAATTAATGTATTTGTCTAATTTCCCTTTGTAAGTCTCCTCCATGTCATTGAAGGTGCATTATGCAACTATTTATGTGAAAACTATATTTTTGTACATTTGACATTCACAGTGGCTGTATACGTGGTCAGCATGGTACCTTTACTTTCCATCACAGTGGTCTGTGAGTATACTATAGGATCAACTGTTTGAAAAGGATTGAATCCTGACGGACCCCGAACGAGAACCCAGACTATAATTGTATGTATATATAGTTACATAATTATAGTTACATAATGCACCTTTAATATAGCTTTTTCTAGGTAGGGTGTGTCTTTAATCAAGGCACTTTATCTAACTGGCTTAAATGTTTAGTATGACATCAATGTCATGACTTTGTCTTCTAATCTAATAAAACTGTCTTTCCCGCTTAGATATTGAGAACATTGCAAAAATCTGGTCTGCAGGCAACAAGTATTCTGTACCATTTATTATTCGTTCTGTCTCTGATTCATTGTATCTCTGGTAAATAAATCATGATTAAAGTTTGAAACAGCATTGTATATTTTACTGACCTGTTTTCTCTATCTTGAAAAGCTTTGATAGTCTCAAGTTTAAACAAGTTTAAACAGTGACATGCAGCTGATGTCTTCAGAGAAATAAAGCATAATATTTAACATTGCATTGTAAATCCAGGCTTTATCTTACAGTGTATTGAGGTAAGAAGAATGCTGCGGGTCTAGACAGCTTGGCACGTCACATATATACAACATTGATAATTCTTCACTCCCATTGGCTGTTTCCATGGTTAAAAAGGTTGCATTAGAAGTGTCCAAAAGCCTGGCTCAGTCATACAGCACGACACAATCTGGAAAAAAGGCATTCAAATATAAAGCTATAATTTACTACATTTTTAAGAAAAAAAAACAGTTGCCATTTTACAGCAAACAAAGAAACGATCACTGCGGAAATAATTGTTATCACTGGTGATATACAGTATTAAGTCTGGTGTACCTAACTTTGAACAATATAAAATCCTTATGCCTCCGTTCCAACTCTCCAAACATTTTGGTTCTACGCATGCATATTTGGCCTCTTTTCCAGACAGAAAAGTGACAAAGAGAGGACCAATATAATCATATTTCAATCCAAAGTGTCTCCCAGTGCTCTTTCTGATAAAACAATTACTAATCAAACAAAGGCAGCATGCTTTGGTCTGTTTATTTTTATTTTTTCAGCAAATGTTACTTTTACACTGTAAAAGTAACTGATGTATATCAGTTATGAACCCCGCTTTTAATATAGCCACATGTTGAGCCGTGGCTGACATAATATTCAATATTAACAGAAAATTATCAATTGTTAGTCAGTAATCTAATACTGCTATAATCAGAAAGGAAAATTTTTGAAAAACTTAAATCCTTATTTTAAAACACAGCGCTTAAATGTGGAATAAGTACTGCCGAATAATATAATTAGCCACAATTAACAATAGCAAGTTATAATGATTTCACCACAAATCACAAGTGATATACATTTCTTTTTAACAATTCAAACATTGGTACAGTTAGTAGATGGTGGTGTTTCCGGCTTGCTACGAATCTCCTTGATAGCGTTAAGAGGGGAGTCGCTCGTACCGATCTGGCATTTGAACACTTGCTTGTACGCTTTCCTGAAGTTCTCGCTCAGGAAGGCGTAGATGACCGGATTGACTGATGAATTACTGTAGGCGAGACAGTGAGCGGCCACACGCAGCACAAAGGAGGCCTGGTTCAAGGGGAAGGTGCCGAACTCCACCCAGAGGTACACCACATGATGAGGCAGCCAGGAGATGCAGAAGACTATCACCACCACCAGCACCGTCTGGGCTGTCTGTGGAGAGAGACAAGTATGCAAAGGTCAGGTAGTGTAAACAAAAATTCATTGGTTATGTGTCTTTGTGCTTATACAAACATCTCCCAAGCCCTCAGGTGAAAAAAAGAAGATTGGAACACCAGGATGCAAATAAGCCCAAGTCTACAATCCGGAGAAGTGTGTTCATCAACATGTACTGTCCCAACCAAATAAACAATACATAAAATGAATATAAAAATAAGTCTCCCTCGATTTGAGAGCCTCTGTTTCCATTTTAAACGTATATGGTTACGCTTAAAGTGATTGTCTGGAGTTTGACCGAAAAAAGAGAGAGGTAAATGATTTGGAAAAAACGACCCAAGCTCCCTCCCCCTTCCTTTCTGATTGGGCTACGCCTACGTTTCCGCAACACATTTGAATATTAATCAGAGAACACATTATGCATAAACATTGTTAATACACATGCACGGAGGTTTTCAGAATTATTTGTCAACGTTTTCATGACAAAACTAATGTTTTAATGCACGAAAAAAGCGATCGCTGTAAACCCGGGAGTAGCTATTATCATTAATTGCACATTATAGGACACATCTGCAGAGGATCTGATTATGGATATAGGTTCAGTATATACATGAGTAACTCAGCGCAGATGTTCAGAATTCTTTGTTCAGTTTTCATGTAGTTTCAGAGCCTAATGGAGGCTTGATTCGGAGGCTCAGTGAAAACAAACAACTGAGCATGAGCGCAGCTACAAGCATCAGCGCCGACGATTGACAGCCCTTGGCACGACTCGATTGGTCAACCTGGACGGCATCATGGATTTTCAGCTATAGCTAAGAGAGGGGAAGGCAGGACTTACCTGTAATATTATAATTCATTAAATGACTTATTTTATATCAACATTTAAGGCCAGGAGGTCAATTTGATACAATTCTTTAAATTTGTAATTCATTTGGAGTTCCAGACTATCACTTTAAGGTATGCTTTACTGTCCAAGTAGGGAAATTTGACCTCTGCATTTGAACCAACAATCCAGCACCCAGAGGAAACCTAAACACACAAAGGGAGAGCAGGCAAACTCCACTCAGAAAGGCCTTTTTCCGACTGGGATTAGAACCTTTGCATCTTCTTGCTGAGAACTTGCATGTGAAAGCCAGATTCCGTCTGAAGCTGAGCAGGGCAGGGTCTGGTTCGTACTGTGGCACCTGTGATTGTGAAGAGCCAAACTTCACCTACATTACCTTGCTGGCAGAATCCACTCTCAGCATTAGCAGGAAGTGATTAACGGATTGTGTCTGATATTGGAGACAATACAATAAAATGTTCCTGCTCAGGCTCTCTATAATTGATGGCTGCAGCACATTGATGCAGGGTTTATTTTTCTCAATTGGCAGATAAAACTTCCATAGTATATAATTCGCCACATTGTGCTAGTGATACCAGAGGAATTCCCACTGTTTTATGGGGCTTTTTATGTCATAAACAAGATGTGCTTTGAGATGTGATAATGGGCATAATCCCAATAATGTCATTATGTACTTTTGTAAACGGCACCAAAATATCAAAGCACAGATGGAGATAAGAGCCATTTTCCTTCAGAGAATATGCACACAACTGTTACAATATTATTCAGTCTGATATCATCCGGACTCTGATCTGACTTATAAGGCTTTGAAACCATGTGACAAACCTATGAAGGAAAACAAACAATAATCAAAATTTTCAGTATACGGCAAAAAAAAGAGATATATTTCTTTTTAACATGTTTGCAGCCCGTTTTTGCACAATTAGAGTGATTCTATCCATGCAAAAAGTGACATACATTTCTCCATTAGCTTATCTTCAAAGTAACTACACAGCATTACTTTTCTTATGGGCAAAGTCAGTGCACTTCCCCTTTTCTGCATCTGACACTGAAAGCAGCATGTTGGATGCATTTGAAATTCTAAGTGCAACTGCAGATAGTTGTCTTGAGAGCAATCAACTTTAGCGACCGTGTTCTTTTTTGCTGATTACTGCACAGTGCAAAGCCTTTCATTGGAGCAGTTTTGCCCTCATTACAGAGTGACGTCATGTGAACCAAGACCAGCAATTAATATTGGTCACGGCAAACAATATCTTTTCAACCGTTTAAAGTCAGGGTACTTTCAAACCACAAAAGGAAAAAGAAAGAAAATTGGTCTAACTAATTCCATGTATTGTTTGGTCTCTGTCACATCCATTAACAATATATTGCTAACTCGCGAGCTCAATATGGCCCAATAGGGAAGCGCTCATGGGTACGTTTTGTTCCTGGCTCCTAAAGACTTACATTGAAAAGTAAACTGCTCAAGCTCAGTAACCGTTTGCGTCACTCTCCCCATTATGGGCTCAAACAATCTGTGGATTAGCGCTCTTTGATCATGGGGGTTACGTTATAAACACTTCTGCCCCTGTTACAGCTCAACGCTAACACTGTTGGAGCAAATGCCTATATAAAGACTTTGGCTGTAGCTGGCTAATATTCAAAGCGGCTTCTTTTGCATTCTTCAAACACTATGGGTAACATCAGCGCTCAGTAAGTTTACTCCTTATCATGGCATTTAATCAGCTTTTTCAGACAGAAAAGTGAAAAATAGAACTCAGCTAAAGAATCATAGGATCTTTCTTGTAAGTAGGCTCTACAAAAGGTAACATAGCAATCTAATGTTGGGACAAACAGAAATTAGACATTGATCAGGAAACACATTGGTCATTTTCAATCTCATGTGCTTCTTGCCTGATTGATGGACAATCAATGTGGCAACAACAAAACTATATCTTCTATTTGCTTTTTCAGTTAGCGGTCTGGGTATAGCAGAAATATTTTCCTGTATTTACTTACAAAATAAATGTATATAATTATGTGTACGCCCTTCTGAGCCTCATCAGTCTGTGGGCCACCAGCAGTGCCCTTCTCTGCCCTGGCCTATGAGCAGCTCCATTATGTACCATTATTGTATGACAGATAAATGCCATCGCCTGAGTAATAGTTAAAGGTTAGCCCGATCCAGAGATGCAACAATAGAGCAGAGGCAACATGGGAAAAAACTCTCATAGTTAACTCTGTGTGAAGGACAATATTTTCTTTAGGCAGTATCTATTTGTCAAGTCTTTGCGAGTCACTGGGGATGTTAAGTATGCTTATGTTGCATGAAGATCACCCCAAGACGGGAGACTTTGGCCCCACTCAAGAAAAAAACAGAAAACAGAAGAAAACCAATATATGGGTTATTACAAAACCATTTCCGATGTCTGATTGTCAGCTCTAACAGGGCTAAATTATTAAAACGTATGCTCTGGTATGTGATGTCTCTGCCGTTAGTGTTATAAAAACATATTATTGCAAAAAAGTGGTGAGTTCAACTTCAGGATACAATCCCCTCTAAGTTGTGCATTTAACAGGCACTAGGCACTTTGCAGAATGTGGTGTCCTCTGCAATTTACCTTGTCATTGGTAGTTATATGTGTGTGTTTCTGTCAATAGCTGGGTAAGAACGTGATAGGCCGGCTTCAATGGCCTTATGGAACATCATTGATAATACTGGTGCAATGAATTCAGCACAAATTTAATTGATAGTTTTCTTATTGAGAGAAAACATGAATTCCATAATGGTGGAGGTGTCCAAATCCAAATCCTGCTGCAGCCTTATCACAGAGTACAGAAGTGAAAAAGAGCATAGATCCATTATGAAGCTTGAGTCCCAACTTGACCCTGGAGCCAATTTCCGAACTGACAGGTCAACATTTAATCAACTGCAGCCACAGCAGAAAGAACAGAGTGACACAAGGAAATAGTTGGGTCAAAAGAGCGCACAAACATGGCCGTAGTTCAAGTGATACCGATCTGAGCCGGGCAATGAAGCAGCGTGTCCGAGACTGACGTGGGTGTAATAAACCTGTCAGATAGTGAACTGTGAAAATGATTATTGGGTAACGCTTTATATTAAGGTGTGCTTGTTAAGTATTAATAAGGTATTAATAGACATTAGCAACATGCTTATAGAGTGCTTATAAACATATTAATAAGCTGCTCATTTCACTATTCTCTAAATGATGTTGTTCTAGTTATATGCTTTTAAGCATTTAATAAGTAATTAGTAAGATACTTATTAAAGGAGGAATATGTTTATAAATATATGAATAAGCTGCTTATTAAACTATTATCGATACCATGTTAATAGGCCACTAACAATATGCCTATAAAGATATTAATACGCTGCTTATTAATAGGCAATAGTGGTAATAGGCCACTAAAAATATGCGTTAATAAACTGCTCATTACACTATTTTGCAGTACCCTAATCTAAAGCGAGGAGCATTTTTGTTAATGCAGAAAAAAACACAACAACGATCTAAGATGTTTTTATTTATTCCAACAGCAACAATTAAAGTCTAAATGAAAAAAAATATCAAAATTAAGTTTGTGCCAAAAGTTTGTTAGTAACTTCAAGGAGCCATGATGAACCCACTCATGCTCCGACCTGCTCTGTTAATGAATTTGGCTTTGGCAAAACAGTGAATCAACTGACTTCACGAGCCTGAGAGATTAGCGGAACTCGCCTATTTTTGGGCATCGTCTGGTCCTCCCGGTTCTGCGCAGTGGACGAGCTCCCAAGATGCTTTGCGTGGCTGTCATGCACGTGCACAGAGGGGCCATGCTCTGACCAATCAGAGCTGCTGATCAGAGCGAGAGTTATAGCGGGAGTTAGAGCGGGAGCCAGACGAGTAGAGTTTGTGGCAGTAAAATGTGGATTTAAAGGACAACTCACCCTCAAATCCACTTTTTTTTTGCTGATAAACGATATAAATGAGTGTCCAATAGTGTTGTCTACATATCCTGGTCATAATTTTGTCACTTTGGTGCAAATTAGGTGAAAGTTAAATTTTCTGCCTAAAACCATCTGTGAGGCGCCATCTGCTGGCAACCTGTGTTACTACATTTGAATTTTGAATCTGGCGCCTGAGACCTGACGTCAGCAGCCCCCCGCCTAGAGCTA